GCTTTAAACTCTTTTTGGTCCGACAAGGAACGCCGAAGGAAACCCCGGAGAACCCAATTGAATTTGAGGGAATCCAAACGAGACGAGCGCAAATTGTGCCCAATCAGTACAATTTGTTTCAACGTGTAGGGCACACACACGTACGTACTACTTGAAGTCAACCGGTTGTTTTTTCTTCTTGTCTCACTTTCCCGCCCGTGAGCAGAATCTTTTTCCCCTGTGAGCCCACAGCCTTGTCTTTTGCTCAGGTGGGCATCATGGGCTTCTCCAAGGGCGCCGCGGAGGCCGCCTTGGCCTTCGCCGCGGAGCCCCAGATCCCGGGGGCGTGGCTGGACTCAGGCGCCTACAGCGGGCTCCAAGGGAGCGCCTGGGACATGGAGAGAGTGGGCAGTGGTTGTAGCGGTTTTCCTTGCGCGGTTGGTGTTGGTTCTGTCGTTCTGTTTTGTTGGCTTAAAATCTTCATATGTCTGCATAAGGACTTTCACGGTTATATACTTCTTGCCATTGACGAGGAACCTACGGAGAGTGGGGAAAGGCGAAAACGGGGTGGAGACAAGAAAGGACGAATGACGAAGTGCAGGGGGAGGGGGACATTTGCAAGACTTGACCAGCTTGGGGACGCTGGCAGGGCTACGTCGTGGCGTTCTGTCCATCGGCCCTCCCAATTGTCCAACTTTCTTGCTTGGCGAAAAAGTTAGGCAGATACAGCTGCAGGGCAGGTGTCAGCTGTCAGCAAAAGCATCGACGCAGAGATTCCAGCTAACAGAAAGACGTGCAATACGAGGCTGCTTGCCCGATTTCTTTTCAGAGGCATGTGCATTAAATTCGCCTTGTCGCGATCCCTCCGTGGACGCTTGCAGCAATGTGGATCCCAAAAGAGGTAACCACGTTTGGACATGCCAGGACCAGTGGATCCTCAAGACTTGGTTTAGACAGGCCCTGCGTCCGAGGCATCGAGGCCACCCTGGAGCCCTTCGTTGGTCCCGCCCTCGCGCCCATCCTGACCAAGCCGATTTTTGGCTCGGGCCAGTTCTTCTCGGGCGGCAGCTTGACTGGTTGGAGTCGGGCGGAGCTGCAAGGTGTAGGACATGGCCTCGTGGGCTTTCCGAGGCGGTCTTGAGGCCCAAGACGGCGGCATGCCGATTTCAATGCCGTGCTCATGCCTGCTTCCCAAGGACTCCCCATGTCGGAGAGAATGAGCCAAATCGCAGTTGCATCTCACATGCTAATGCCATGACGTGCTAATGCCATGGCGATTAATGGAAAATACCAAATCTCGTGTGGTACTTAGAGGTTCCTCCCTCAATTTGACCCAATTCCCAAAATTACACAGATTGTAGGCGTTGTGGAGGTTTGTCAGGTTCACTAAGCGGACGCACACGCACGGACACCCACGCACAGGCCCTCGAAGAGTTTCAGAAAAGCTGCTATCCTGTTCCTCCACGTGTTCTTATCTCTTGGCAAAGGCGGAACGCCCCCTTCCTGCAGGAGAGGTCATTAAATGACCATAGCTAAGGCAGAATCGATGTGATGGACCCCATCGAAGAGCTCCGTGCCATGGTCGGAAGATCGGATTGTTTCGTAAGTGCAGCTGGGTTGGATAGGTTGGTTTATAATTGCCTAAGGCGAGTTGGCTGGGTTTGTGATTTTGGATTCTGGTATTGAGCAACGTGCAGCCTTGATGTCGGACGGCTGTTTTTCATTGCCGGCGTTTGTGTTTAAGCAAGAACATGGATGCACGGGCGAGTCTGTAGATTGGCATTTGTATAGTTTGTTTGCCCGTGATTTAGTGTGAATTGGTATTGGCAGCCCCCGCACGGTTGGCTTCCTTTCGTTGGGGTATTTTGGCACACCATAATTGGGCCAAACAGCGCGGTGCACTTTGCACGTTACTAGGGGGCAGGCGGCAAGCGTTGTATTGCTCCTCCCTGCACGAATCCAAGTCCTTGCACGGATTTGTTGGCGTGTTGCCCATTCAAAAAAACACTTCTTGAAGAGCCCTGCTTCGAGAAGCCTTCCCAGCACATGTATGATGCTGTTCTACAGTTTCTTTGGGTTTACAAGTTTCTGAAGGTGCCTCTTGAACCGGCCTTCGTGAAGCCACAATGAAGTGGAACACAGCCATCCCCCAGATGTATGCTGCCTGAAGCAACTTGCAGACCCAGACAATCCAATTCAAAGAAGCTCCCGTTGAAACCCAGAGCTTTGGATGCAGGGCGAAGCATTGTGTTGTTGGCCCAATCTGTCCTAGTGGATGAGGGGAATGCCTCCCTTTTTGATTGGCGATTTGGACTAGGGAAGCATTTGAAGGAGAGACCAATGAACAAGACAGCTCAGTCTACTTTCCTTCTTGCGGCCCTGCCAAGCAACCCTGGCAGTGTCATTTGTCCATAACGGCAGTTTTCGTGACATCCTGGCACGCTTCCTTTGAAGCGTATTTGTATCACAGTGTCATTGTTTAGTTTGTTGCTAGGTGCGCTGCGCACCTTTTCCGGGTGGTTGGCCTTCTAAACGTGTTTGTTTGCTTCCATGCTGCTGCTGAAAGAGGGCTCTCAACTTAGAGGCATTCCCATTTGTTTTACCTGACCTGGGTCAGGCAAACAGTGCCCCCGCCAGCGCCCCGTCATGATCTCACAGAGCAGCCTGGATGACGCGGCCCCGCTGCAGATGGAATCCTGCGGGTAGTCCGGGGCAGGCAGTCGAACACATGCGCTCGCATAAGGGAAAGCACGGCACACAGAGCTCATCAAGATGCATGTTGAATAATTTTGGCATTGGCTCGTTCTTTCTTAAGTGGTTTGTACCCAACAGCGCAGTATTCATGCATCAGTGCCATTGTTGGTGAAGTAGTCAACGCCCACCTGCACGAGGTGCTTTCTGGCCGACAAGTAAAGTCTTTGGCACAGCCACCGAAGCTGCGCATGTCAGAAGACGAAGTTTGTTTAGATGGCCGCCATAGCAAAGCGCAATGATGCTGGATGGCGCCTTGTCACTGAGACCGTGCCCATCAGAGAAGCGGAGAGAGCGGTGGTGGAGCTTTCAGGGTGCCACCGGGGAACTGGGAGCGTGTCTGGCGCATGTTGTGGATCGCAGGGCCAAGACTCAGCTGGGACGGAGCGGCCCAAGCAGGCTAAAATGTAGTTTCTGTGCATTTTCCAGTGTCTGGTTTCTTCATCAGGGTGCAGAAGAAGCTTTTAGAATCGTTTCTCCTTCAGGCCAGAAAATCGTTCGCTCAAAGCATCGCGCACCTGCAGTGTTACCACAACCCATTGGTTCACAGAGTCCGGCGATTGTTCGAAAGCGGGAACGATTGAATTCTGGATATGTTCGTTGCACAGGTGTTCCAAATGCTTAAGCCGTGGACAATGCTGAACAACCTGACTTGTTCAACACTGGGTTGCAAATCAGAGCTTGAACAGTCACCCTCAGAATGCATCTGCTGGCCCATTGTTCCGTGATACTCCAAGAAATATCTTTAAAGCGACAAAGAAATCTGTCCAGGAATGGGGGGATATAAATGGATATAATTGCACGGCCACGGTCACCCTCGGTCGATGCTACGCATCCGTTCTCGTTCTCGGTAAGTTGCAAAGGCTTGCTTTGCCCTAAGAAATGGTTTTCACCACGACCACGGGGCAGACGTTGTAAAGCGCGCTTTTGGCACCCCAATGTTACAGGTAAGGGCGACGACATGAATGACTTCAGCAGACCGTCGAAAAAATAAAAAATGTGTTTCCACTTGGTTGCTTGTACATGGCTCCGGGCAAACTGCGGTTAACCTCACCCATGAAGGGTTCTTTTATGCGGTGTACCTTCTTCAGTTTTGTTCAAAGTTGAGAAGGACCGGGCGCCCCACCTAGCACTGCGACTCCGGAGGCTGTTCGACTGCTACCGCGTCAGTGCCTACACGCCGCCGGAGTTTTGCAACGGTGCCCGCCACCACCAGGCCTCGGCCTCTCGCCAACTTGCCACATGTTTGTGGCAGGTGAGGTTTGGGACAACTGCAGGTGTCTACTAGCTGAAGAGAGCGAATTGTGCTAATGCCTTGAAAGAGGCGCGGCCTGTATGAAACCTGCTGGCGTACTGGCCATATGCGTCTGTGTTTGCTTCAGTTGGCTTCCCAAGTAAAGATGGCATGCAGCCAACGGGCGGTTTCCCCAGGGCCACCTGACAACTCCGAAAGCGTCTTCTCCCGAGGAACTTCATTCACAGCGTTGAGGCCAAAGAGCAAACATGGGTGAATATGATTCACTACCGTGGACCTCTCGCATGGGGGGAGTCTTGCAGGGCAGTCACTTTATCAGGATCCGTCATTTGGACAAGTACGACTACTTCCACTTGGCGGTTTTAAAGGCTCGAGATCACATAGCCTCAGCCAGCCATCCAGTTCCAGCAAGACTTGCCTCCAACAGTCACCACAAACAACAGCAAACTTCGGGCACTGGATAAGTCGGGGTGCTGGGCGTTGTCGTCTGAAAGCCGTCGCTTGCAATGGATTCTCGAGTCGCCGAAGACTTCACTGTCATTTGCCTTCGACATGACCAGCAAAAAGTTCCGATTTCCCCAGGAGATGTGGGAGTTCCCAGACGACACCCGCGTGAAGCATTGCTCGTTCTGGAGCCGTGCCTTGCCTTCGGTCCCTTAGGTTCAGCCTGGCCCGAAAAGAGGGCAATTGAGTATCTCAGACAGGCTGCCCTTGCTGGCCTGGGCTTCGCTTCTTCTTTGACAAATCCGCGAATTGAGTAGTGGGTCAATAGGCCGCAGCGGGCGTCCTCGAATTCTTGGCAACGGGATTCTCAAAGCTCAGGCAGTTGCCTTGCAGGATGATTGCTTAGAACAGCCCTCCTCTGTTATTGACTTGGCGTTGCAGCCCGGGATTGTCTTGGCAGGAGTCTCAACATACAAATAAATGATAGCTTACAGCTCTTTGTGGCAAAGCGGGCTGTCCATGCTGACTGGGAAACAGGTTCCGATGTGAGAGGGGCCTGCTGCGGGTTCTTCCCGGACTTTGCACCCCTGAGGGCCAACGGTTGCATCTCAAGAAATATCGGGTGAAACGGATGACCAAGCGTCCCAACCCAACCAACAAAAACGTACCCAAGCAAACCGTTGTTTAAAGAGGCGTTCCACAACGAATCCGCCGGCTGTTCACCTTGAGGCGTCTTCGACCAGGATCCGGCGCTGTGCCGCCTCAGCAGCCAGCCGAACTTCCAGACTTGGTCGCCGCCCTTCTATTTGCCCCCCGGGAGCCCCACCGAGTGAACGGTCATTTGTCCCAATCGGTGCCCTATTCACCGAGTTTATGCCAGCATAGGCCGCCTTTGTCAACAGCAGGACAGCGGACAAGCATCTTCAGGAGCAAACATTTTGACCGCTTGGGCCATGATGGCCGAGGGCTTCCGGCCCCAAAGTTTTTGCACGAGGGAGCCTCGCATCAACCTTCGGTGTGGCGAAAACCTCCTGTCCTGACCAGACCGAGGCACAAGGAACCCCAGGGGAGAAACGTCCTTTGAAGGCCAACAGGCATCTGTGCTGCCAACCTTCAGGCAAGGTTCTGGGCTTCACTCGATTTCCCTTGCCAGGTCGCGCTTTAGAGTGTCGGAAGTTTGGTTGCCTTACCCCGGCCAGAGCTTCTTGATCCAGCCCAGCAAAGACCCAACTAGATTGAAGATTGTTCATTCAGTCAACTAGTGGTGACACCAATGGTGACAACTGATTAGTAAACCCCCCTCCCCCCCCCTTCAAGGTCGACAAGGTTTGGACAAGTCCCCAAAACTGTGATTCTTGGGAGGACCCCCCTGATTAATCTCGAGCCCCTTCGGTCCTCGTCTTCTTACTTCTGGCCCCTTCTGGGCAGTAGGACTTTAAAAGGCAACAGCGGGTTTCGGTTTTGGGGTTTTTGAGCCCAAAAGGGGCCTGATTAATCGTGGGGGGGGTTCTGTTAACGACGGGGGGCTGGCCTGCAGGGGGGGCCTTTGAAACCTTGTCATTTTTAACAACTTTCAATAAAGAAAAAGGCATTTTGGGGGAAGCACATGTTTGACGAAAACTTGAGGGGTTCAAGATCTCCCCCGATTTCGGCCCGGGCTCAGGGAGCCGTGGGATCAAGGTGGCTGCCATGGGGACCTTGGTGGCTGCCAAGGGGACCTTGTGTCCTTCGGTCCTTCACTTAGGGGGCTCCCTGCTGATAACACAGTTTGAATCACCCTTCGGAGGAATGGCAAGTGCGCGTGTTTGCATGGGCCAAGCAAGCCAAGTCTTTGACGTTGAAAGATAGCATGGGGACCGACCCCGGGTGTGACTAATTTCAGCCCGAGAGTTTTGCAGTAGCGAGCATCCCTTCAAGAGGGCTGCTCAGCTGTTCCCAGAGCCCATGGCCGTCAGCTGGTAAAAGTGGATCGATCGGGCGGACTGGTTGGGCGGTCTCCTTGGAAGCTCGGGGGTTTGAACTTGGGGCCTGAGTCGGGGACGGCCCCCAGACCCGGGATAGCAACTGCCCCCTGCAAAGCCGGGATTGTGATGAACAGATTGTTGAATGAAGATGTTAATGGACACAGTGACCCCTGGGGCTGGAAACTGTGCTTGACATGAAGCGTCAGGCAGGCACCTCCATTCTATCATGTTAAGTACACTCCCTGATTGCGGTACGGCTGCTGCCCGGGCCAGGTCAAGGCTTCCCACAATCCCGAAGAAACAGTGATTCAGAATCCTGATGGATTGCAAGCATGGTATAGGTTCCCATTCGTCCTCACTGAGCCCCTGGCAATGGGCATGGGAAACTGGATCGATGTAGATGGACCCCAATCCGACCCTTAAGGTAGGGGCTTTGGCAGCAGTGAGGATGCTACGTGGCATGTTCCCATGGAGAAATATGGCATTACACAACAATCCCCAGCTACTGCGTAAATGGAAACTTGGAAGGTTTGCGTTGTCGGGGACGTTGCCTGTGCTGATGGGACCCGTGACCCAGGAGCCTACGTACCGTAGATGTTTGTTGCGTAAGTGCCTTAAGACCAAGTTTGCCGCATGGTGATGCACAACACTCCTGCCCTACTGTTCTCCCTCATGCTTCCCGCTCCCCACTTGTTCTCTACAACCCCGACTTCACTCACGGCTGGACAGAAGCTTGCCGCCATGTTCAGACTATTTACTGGGACGGTTGGAGTTGGCCTTGATGCGGGCAGGTTTCAATAGGAGCAGGGTCTTACAAAAACACCAGCGGGAGCTGTCCCCAGTGCTCTCCATAATCGCCCACGCCAGGATTTACCTTTCAAATTAAAACTTGAAGGGCTCTACAAATGTTTTCTCACGTCCAGATAGCACCATGGTTTCTCATTTTAGTTGCCGCAAGAATAGGCAACCACACATGTTTGCACCTAAGGGTTGCATCATGGTTTCCTCGGGGTACCTGCTAAAATTGTGAATGGCAGCAGTGGGTTTGTTTTTTTTCACTTTGCCGACCCCAAAGAGAGTCCCGGCCGGAACTCGATCGAGGAAAGTTCCCGGGCGTCTACGCGCGTGTGAGCAATGGCCTGGCACCTCGGTAGCCACAATCAAAACCCGGTGGATTTGAAGGTTAGTAAGGATCACTCTCAGCAATAGGTTCGGCAGCCCTCTTGGTTCGCGACATGTTTATTGTGTAGGCCCTTTCTCCGCGAGGTTTCGATGCTGGCTCAATTTGGCCCGTGTGTAGGGGGTTGGTCCCAACGGCTTGCCCACCGCCCGGTTCAGAAACCTGAAATCTTTGTTTGGAATTAGTCTACACGGTCAAGATCATTTTGAGCATCTGCAGGTTGCGGCCTGGATGTTTGCCCTATCAAACCATCTGGTAACCAGCCAGCCAGCCAGCCAGCCAGCCAGCCAGCCAGCCAGCCAGCCAGCCAGCCAGCCAGCCAGCCATGCCTGAGGATTGGATCCATGGCGTGCTGGCTGGCGGCGTCGAGGCACCTGGCGCTACGAAGGTGGACTTCAATGGACGAATGTGGGCTGTGCAAGAGGGCCCCTGCCAGGTGGATTCGGAGACTTGGGCTGAAAGCTATGGTTCGCAGGTTGTTCCCCCCAAGTCTGAGCTGGAGATTTGGCCTGACCCCGCAGATCCAAACAAGAAGCGCATGGCACAAACCTTCGGGGATGAAAGCCGTCACTGCCCTTCCACCAACAAAGCACAGGAATTGCTTTCCGGGGGGGGGGGGAGAAGTAACTTTCATCCTGCTCATACATTTCTGCTATGTGGCTTGAATTGGCTTTGCTTGCCCAGTCTGTCGGCTGAAGGCACTATGGGAAAATTGTTTGCCTTTGAAGAGCCTTTGATCGGATGTGCTTGCTTGTCTCCCAGGGTGGATGGCTCAACCCCCAAATGGCGCGTGAACATGTTCTGAGTCACCTGCGCCGAGGGTGCGAGAACATATTACATCCCTTCCCCCCCCCCCTGCCGCCTTTCGGTTTAAAAAGTGCAACTGCTGGCCAAGCCCAGGCTTGTAGCTGATGCAGGTGGGAGTGGGTAGCAAAAGTGCCAGGTAGACGGTGCCCAAACCTACCTTGTTTTCGTTTTAAACCACCAGGATCACTTTGTCAAAGCCCATGTAACTCGCAAAGCCTCCAAACAAGCTGCTGGCAGTGGCATTCAGTCTGTGATGGAAGACGCTCTTGCCTGAGGATGGCTGCGTGACGAGCCCTGGGCATCCGGGTGCGTACCACAACCGGGACAAGTGCAGGACCTGGGCTGAGCGAGTCGCACGGCCACTGCTCAACTCAGAGACAAGAGGTACCACTGGACCACACGCGCCGTGCGCATCCAAATGTCAGAACAGAGGCCCCACAGCGCCTTAGAGAGAGACCTGGAGCCCAAACATCCCGCACTGCGAATGAGTATAGTTGCAAAATTGTAAGCAAAAAGGTAAGGTAAAGCAATCGTTTGGGGTGGTCCGAACGGGAAACCAATGGACCTTCCGTTGGAGCTCTCCTATTTTGAAACAAGCCCAGTTGGCGCAACCTATGTGAATCTCCTCCCGGGCACGTGGTATTACCCACAACCACGAAAAAGCAATCCTCGTTACAAGCACCATCAGTTTCTCACTTGTATCTTCTTCTACTAGATGGGCTGGCGGCCCTCATCGCGGGAGAACGACTTCATGCACCAATCCCGCAATGCGCAGCCAGCAAGCGGCAGTTAGGGTTTTTCGATAGCTACGATCAATTCTCACATTTTTCGTACACGTTTCAGCAGCTCAATACATAGTTGCCTTGGCCTGCTGCACCTGGCCGAAGCAACACAAGCAGCAGCACAAAGACCGCAGGCACAGACATGCGCATTTGCACAGGACCCGTATGTGGGAATGCAACCAAGCGCACGAACCAACAGGTGCACGCAAGCACGCCGACAGACAGACACATACACAGACAGACAAAGACAGACAAACACAGACAAAGACGGACATACAGACACACACACACACACAAACAGACACACACACAGACCGATACATACAGAAACAGACACACGCACACACGCACACACACGCACACACACACACACACACAAACACACACACACACACACACACACACACACACACACACACACACACACACACACACACACACACACACACACACACACACACACACAATCACACACACACACACACACACACACACACACACACACACACACACACACACACACACACACACACACACACACACACACACACACACATCACACACAATCACACACACACGGACACACGGACACACGGACACACGGACACACACACACACACAGACAGAGGGACACACAGACACACAGACACACAGACACGCAAACACAAGCACACAGACACACAGACACACAGACACACAGACACACAGACACACAGACACACACAGACACAAGCACACAGACACACAGACAGACAGAGAGAGACAGACGGACAGACAGACAGACAGACAGAGGCAGACAGACAGAGGCAGACAGACAGAGGCAGACAGACAGAGGCAGACAGACAGAGGCAGACAGACAGAGACGGAGACAGAGACAGGCAGAAACAGACAGAGACAGACAGAGACAGACAGAGACAGGCAGAGACAGGCAGAGACGGACAGACAGCGACAGACAGAGACAGACAAAGACAGACAGAGAGACAGGCAGAGACAGACAGCGACAGACAGGGACAGACAGACACTGACTGATAGACAGACAGACACACAGACACACGGACACACGGACACACAGACACACAGACCCATCAACACACAGAGACACAGGCAGCCAGACAGAGGCAGACAGACAGAGGCAGGCAGGCAGGCAGGCAAGCAGGCAGGCAAGCAGACAGACAGACGGACAGACAGACAGACAAACAGACACGTACCCACGCACACACGCACCCACGCAGACACCCACGCACGCAGGCATGGACGCAACACTGCCCGCCAGGATCGCGGTAAATGCATCCGCAGCGGTGCCGATCGAGGTTAAGGTGTTCGACACGGAAGAGAATTATGACCGGCTGGCCGTAAACTGTGTTCCTTACTCCGGCCAGAGCCGTGGATGCATTGGAGAGTGTCTTATTCCTGGTTCTCTGGAGCGCTCAGTTTTAGACTCCGTTTCTCATTAGAAAATTGAACGGCGCCCAAAACGCGTGTGGGAAGTGAGTATCCTCTTGAAGGCCTGGCTCCCACGTTGCAGAGGCATTTGCCTGGGGTACTTTCTGCGAATTTGCAAAATTCCGTAGAATTATATCATGCAAGGGGGGGTGCAAATGTCAGAGGGGAAACGCTGGACGGACAGACCAGCGGGCACGCCAAGCGAGAGTGTGGGGTCGGAAAAAGCAGAAAGCCCAGCTGGGTCCTTTGAATGTTGGTGGCATTGCAGGTATGAATCAGGTCAACATTGGCCCTCACGCACACTGAGGCCTTCTATCACTTGCGAAAGCCAAGCTGGCTTTGCATTGTTAGCTGCTGCCACCCCACAAACTAGGGGGCCATCCACTTGCCAACGTATTTCAAAGCTCGTCATGAAGGATCCTACAGTTGTCCAGGCCTTCTCCCAAGGCACCCCAAGCCGAAGAGGAGCTAGCGGACCTAAAGTCTCACAGGCTTCCTTTTGCCGCTTGGAGGTTGGGTCCTCTATTTGGACGGCCCCTGACAACAGTAGGAGCACTTTGGGTGCTGCAGCTGAACGGCGCTTGGGAGGCCAACCCAAGAAATGTCAAATATGGGGTTTCCATGCTTGGGTCCGTGCCAAAGAGGGGGTCGCCGGGCAGTTTGACACATTGCAAGGGAGGCCCAAATTACTGAGCACCTGGGCAAATCCGGCAGTTTCATTGAAGCCCAGTCTGGCGAATGGCATCGGGCCCGGAGCTGGCAGGAAAGGACCTCATGGGGTGACGCCGAATTCGGATATTCTTTGGATGGCGGACGGCGCGATGGTCGGGCAAGGCTGGAGGCTGGGCCGCACACCTGGGCAAAGACTGTAGCCAGAACCGGCCGTAAGAAGTGGCATCATTCTGCAATCTCTGTTTTCTGCGCACGCTCATGTTCAACGTCCGCTTGCTAGGGCCTTGAGTATGGCATGAAGGGAAATGACAGACCCAGTCAAGGGTGTGTGAGCCGGCGCAGGAATGAATGTCAATCGCCCACCTAAGTGCTTATCCCAGCACCACGGGGCACATTGCGAAAGTAGTTATGAGTATGTAGCAAAATTTGTGCCTGCAAGGGGGGGGGGCAGGCTGAGGATTGGCAATGGGGCTCCTTCTGTCTTCTATCCAATCCCAAGACAGAGGCCTGCTGCCAAAGCAGAAATTGCTGTTGAACCTTCCTGGCACAAAATGCATGCTCGCAAAGAGACACCAGAAGACATCATCCAAAGGCTTTTGCGAATTGGGGCGTAGATCGCGTTTGAGGTTGATCAACTCCCTATTTCATGAGAAGGCTGGCCGCCTCACTTTGCTGTCGTTTCCTGTTTGTCTTGTCTTCTGGGTGCTGCTGCCACACGAGCAGCAACCAGATGTGCACAAGGCAAAGTAGAATATAAGGGGCCAATTGATTTCACGCGTGTCTCGCCTATCGTCGCAACATGTTTTGGCTGCTTAATATATGTGGTAATCACGATCCCGCTTTAATTGTTTAAGCCCCTTAGAGCAGCAGCCCCGCGAACTTGTAGGCTATGTCCGGCGAAGCGACCGTGAAGCTTGACGCCCCGCGTGGCCGCAATCCCAAGTTGCGAGACCGACGCAGACTCCTTGGGCAGGCTACGCGCTTGAATGCATAGGTGCATGGCTGCATGACTGCAAGGGCCTGCTTACAAAGCAGCAGGCTGTGTTGCCCAGGCGTATGGCAGAAGTTCTTCTTGAATTGGACCCGTCAGGAAGAAAACTCGGGGTCAACGAATGGCTGGCAATTGGAGACTGGGCATCGGCCCTTCCCGAGCAGATCTGATCTTTTGCACTCGGGAAAGGTACTCAGTGTTGTTTTTCAATGCGGCTTGCTGGGCGTTTCCTAAAGCATGGACACCCCTATGGGCGTGTGTTGTTTTTGAATGTTTTGCCTTATCCTTTGACACCAACGAGCGCACCTGTTTTGGAAATTCCCACGATCGAACCAAGAGGGAGGCTGGAGGCTATTCCCTCTGGAGGGCTGAGTTCCTCGAGTTCCTGCCGCGCACCCTTCCTCGCCGAGGCCACCAAGTGCAGTCAAATGGAAGCTGTGGACGGGTTGTGGGTTTGTTGAATCTCAGCTTTTGTTTGCGAGCCACCTTATCCCTCAGTGGCAGTTGAATCCACACGAGTGAATTCAGCGCCTCAAACGCTCTTACCTGGCTGGCTTCCACAGGACTTCCAAGAGGTGCTCACGGCGTACATGTTAGGGGCCTTCCCATGGCTTCGGTTTTCAAGGTCGGCGTAACAAGTTGGTGCGGCTCCGCGGCTCAGTCGGCTGCAAGGCCAAAAGAAGTGCGCATGAAGGGAAAAGGCAAATGGAGGGATCCCGAAATGCTGCCGAAATGCTGGGCTTTCGGGTCGAGTTGGAGGCTTAGCTTGGGAATCCGCTCCGTTTTTGGTGGCGTGCTAGAAGCTGGAATGAAAAGCAATGTAATGACCCTGACAATTGAAATTGCCTTTCAAGTTTGGGAGCGTGTGGGGCCACTGCAGTGATTTGCTGCTTTCTGTCGCGCGTGGAGTCGTGGAGGCTTCCCGGCTGGCAAGTGAAGCCCATGACCAATGGGGCTTCGTGAAATAGGGTTCCTAAATACCCGCGACAGATGCAGGTTGGCCAACTCGAAAACTGTGATTGCTGGCTGCTCTGATGGATGCTCTCGGAATCCTCTACAATTGAGCAGCTCTTGCGCTCATTTGCAGGCGTTTGTCTATGCGAGGATGCCATTCACAAGAGCATAGCATCGTCGCCTCATTTGACCGCATTTGAAGCATGTGCTCAGGCGGTTGATTGCACTATCCTTTGATGCCTGGCTGGCCGCAACATGTACAACTTGACGAACTGCGGGGCCTGATCGGAGTGGACCAAGGCTTTGTTTCTTTGCATGGCCTGTTGCCGCTTTAGTGACGCCAAACCAGACCGCTTCCTGTAGCCTTGTGTGAGGCTCATCAGCTTCCGTTGGATGCTAAATGTATCGTCCATGGCATGCCGTTGGGCGGCTTTGTGGGCTCTAAGCGCCTTGGATTGCTGTGTTGCTTTAAGGCTGGAAGAAGGTCAGATTTTTGGGATGTGCTTGAGCAAACTTCGTGTCAGGGCTTTGTGGTGGGATTGTTTTGGCTCCAGCCTTTGCTCCTTCAGGGCCACCGGGATTTTTTGACAAGCTTGCCACGTGCCGGACTTTGCCAGGTGCTCTTGCCCTGGGCATTCGCATCTCAGATGACGACACCCAGGCGATGCCCCCCTGCAATCGTAGGATCCCTCGTGAAGGTATGCCAAACTTGCAAGAGGAAACCCGCTTAACAAAAGTCAGCATCTGTCCGTCAGACGGATGCTTGCACTACACACTAGCCAAGAGAAACCTAAACAGAAGGGACCACTGATGGAGCAGCGGTGAGACCTGCGCTTTGGCTGTGGTTATGCGCATTTCAAGGGATCGGATTGAACGCAACAGCCAGGCTTTTTGAGTCTATGAGTGTCAACCCTTTGAAAGAACTGCTCTTTTTGCTCCTGATAAAGAATGAAGATAGAACCAAGGCTCAGCTTGGTTTAGCAGCATCTGCCAGCCGACTTGGGCGCTGCCCATTCTGGTTGGCCGAGCTTGGCCGTTGTGTTGGCCTTGGATTTCCGCCCTCACCTTTGCCTCTTCCGGCCGTGGTTCACATCGCGTCGCAGGCGAAAGAGGCCGCTGTGGGCGTTTGCCCACCGGCATGGCCACTTGAGGCCGGGTAGGTGGCGTGGCTGGAGCCTGGAGGAAAGGAATCCAAGTGGAAACCTATCGGCTCCTGGCAGAGGGGTGCAGCCCGTTAAAGAGTAGCATCTTCGAAAAATTGTCTGGTCTTCTTTGTTTTGCTTTGGGGGCCAGGAAGTTCACATGCTCCATGCTGATTTCTCTCTTACTTTGTCGTTGTTTTGCTCAGCCGACGTTGTTTGCACAGGGCTGCACGCCCCTGAGCTTTGTTGGCCACTTGAATGGTTCCCATTGCCCTCTAACCAAAAACCATGCCGCTGCGTGCTTGCTGCGTAGTTGTCTACCTTGGCCCCTGAGCAGCCTGAAGAGGTGCCTTCGAGCAAAAGAATGTAACACTGGCGACCCACAGTGGTAGGCTTTCATTGGTGTCACGGTGGGCCATTCCCAGAACCCTGTTCAATGTTGGCCTGTGACCTTACCACCCAGCACGAATCAGTAGGTGCATGGACTGCCTGGATGTTTCAAGGTCAGGAATTGCCCGGCAGCAGCTGTGTCAGTTGATTTTGGCAGTGCTCACCCTGCAGACTAGCAGTGTCTAGCAATGCTCCCTTATGCGTTTGTCATGGAGGATGCGATTGCAGTCATTATTGGCATGCTTACTGTGAACCCCAGCTTTAGTCTTCAGCTTCGTAAATCCTCCCATGTGATTCGTGGAATCTGGCAGCATTTGGGTTGCCGATGCAGGAGCACATAAGCACCTACCAGGCCAACGCCTCCACATTTCAGGAGGGGAGGATTCAGCCGATCCTTCCGAATACATCCGAAATTGGCGCGGAGAATTTGGATCTTCTTGGTTGAACTGTTGGTTTCTCTGCTTTGCCTTGAAGTGCCGAGGCCATTGCCACAGTTAGCAAATGGCGACCAAGGACACGCTTTGAGACTGGCTTTTAATAGAAAGCCCGTTGGCCCCCGACTCCACAGGTGAAAACAGGCTCTTGGGTTCGAAAAGGCCTACGCATCCCGAACATCTGCACGCTCCGTTACGGTTTTTCGAATTGGTGGCTGCTAATTCGCGCGCATGCTTTGTCCTGGCACCAGTGAGGCAAACAACTGAAGAACCAAGAACCCTTCACAGCACGCAAACGCCTGATATGTGTCATCTCGTGTCTGCTTCATGTTGCTCGAAGTTCCTGTGCGTGCCCCTGTTCACAGCCAAAGCCTGCATGGAGGGAAGAAAGGTTCTGCTATTAGAAGAGGGGCATTCTTTGGCAGGAGCCCTGCTTCAAGGCCACCCATGAAAGGAGCTTGCTTTGGCTATTGGGCCAAGCCTAGAGGCACAAACGACCGTGGCTTGCCGCGTTGAGGAGGGTCCGGTTGAGCGTTTGAGGCTGAAACCAGGGCCCTCCAACTCATGGAAGTCCCCAATGCCCCAATCCCCAAACGTGGGATGGCCCACTGGCCTTTTTTTGGGACCATGAAATCGGCAGGTGAGGGGGGGTCAGAAAAAAGGGGTGCGGCGGGGTGCAAAAAGCAGCACCCTCCCTTGAAACAAAAATACGGCCGGTTTCCACTCGAATAGACTACTATTAGATAGTGATCAGGAAACGCGCGCTTGATTGCAGGGGGCCTGCTGGCACCACTAATTTCTCCCTGGTCAGGAGGTGGCTCTTTTCCAGGAGTGGAAGCTGTCGCACCATATAGACTGCAGTGACCCCGCCGCTTGGACAGATTGCCAGCCAAGCGCAGTCTACAGGGTGGGGAGCATCATCTCAGATACCGACGCCCTCTTGCAAAATCTAGAGGGTTGCCAAGAAGGAAGGGCCCCTTGATGCCTTCAAAAGGTCATTTGTTTTGGTCAACCCCCCTATGACTGAGTTGGGAGGGTTTCCGGGACGATTGCACTAAAGGGACCCGAATGCAGTGCCCTTGGTCTTAGCATGAGGGCCAGCCCCTGACAATCACACGATTAGTTTCCCTTTGAAAAAACGATAAAGGACTAACAATGACCCAATTTGGCCAGACAACCCCCCCAAGGCAACCCAAAACCAATTGGCCCCGCCTTCCCATCCGCAGACTGGCCTGGCTTTCGGCGTAATTAGGTGGGTTCTGCCACGGTGCTGCCGGAAATGGACCCGGAGAACCCGGTCCGGGACTCCAAGGTGTTGATCAACATCAAGCTGGAGGCGCCCATACAGCCGATTTGTTCCAAGGGAGTAAGGGGGCATTTTTGCCGCGAGATGAGACGCCTCCATATTAAGCCTTTGAGCTTCATTCCCTTGAAAAAAAAAGGCGAAGCGGCGACAAGTTGGGACCGTGGTGTTACTTGTGGGTTTCCGTTTTGAAGCCCGAGGCAGCCAAAAGCAAAATAGGTCCAAGAGCCCCGTTCGATGCACGAGTCTGGCGCCCAACGAAATTCTGGGCTTGATTGTTTTTTGAGGTACCCCGGTTAAAGTCAACGAGAACAAAAGCAAGATTTGGCGCAAGTCCTCCTGCCCCATTTTGGGGAGTTCGCCAATTTGGAGATGTCGTACGTTTAAGTAGATCTTTCCGGATCCACATAAGGTGCATGCAGGCTTCCCCGTCGGGAAGCATCCCCTTGGTCGAACGATGGGCCGGGCACAGCGCACATGGAAGCTGGTCTCTGTGCATGCGAGGGCCTCAAATTGCCCCATGTGCACCCCATCGCGTGCATCCGGAAAAAGGCCAACATGAGCTACCCTCCTCCCAACAAAGGTGCACGTGCACAGGCCCCTGTAAAGGTACCAACCATTTGGAAGCATAAGAGGGAGTTTGTCCCCTGTCAGTAGGCAGCTGCCGGCCAGCACTTGCACTACTCAGATGCCCAGTGGATTCCCGTCTTGTTCCTTGTTTGGGTGGGGTCCCCGTAGACTTCAACTAGCAAGGCAAAGAGAGATGCCTTGATTCCTGTTTCAACACCACTGAACAAATCCTGCATGGAAGAACGAAGCCTCCCATCATGGTCCGCTCTGCCATTTTTGGGCCACAGGAGCAGGACAGAACGGGACAGCTTTTCCTCTGCTCTTCGCAGCAGCGGTGCTACGCGGAGATCCGCAGCTTGGCGAAGTGTGCGGACTTCGCATTGAGGAGGGCTAGCTGGGTTTGCACTGCAAAAAAGATAAACACAACGCCCGCTCGGCTTTGTTTGGTGAGTTGTTTTTTGGAGGCCCTTAAATTCGGCAGACCCTAAACAGGTTCTAACAGACGGCTTCCAGCTTCTGAAGAGATGGCCCACCTCTTTATCCACCGTCGTCTCGCTTCCAGGATTCATAAGCCTTGGCGAGTAAGTGGTGAAAACATGGCATTCGTCCAGGAGTTTACCCGGCCTGGCATAGACAAGGAAGAGGGAACGAGCGGAGAAGAGAGGGAAGGGAAAATATCTTCCCACATTCCATGTCCAACATTGAAGAGATGGAGGAGGAAGAGATAGACTCTTCCATCGTGAGCCTTTCATGTCCTTGGGTGGGATACATAGTCAGCAAAGGAGAAACTCTTCGAAAGGCCTCCCGGTTGCGAAGAGCAAAGAAGCAAAAAACAGGACCTGCAAAGCGCGACTGGAGAGAAGGCGGAGTTCCCGGACCAAGTAGGCAGAAAGCAGCCGTTCACACAACGAGTCCTCCTTGGATTTGTATATGCGTATCTTAACGTGCGTGAGCTCCAGGCTCCTAAATTTTCTATTTTCGCATGTTGACCCCGAGTTAGTCAAGCTGGCGTATCAATAGGGGGTGCCCCTCAGTAAAAGTTGCCCTCTTAAATGGAACGCCCCATGGAATCCGTAGTAATGAAGCCGGAGTTGATTAATCTAGCGTCGACCTGGTCGCATCCTGGCCCTGTGATACGCACCACTCTCGCAGAAGCCCCCCATGGAGTGAGCCTTCAGGCCCAAAACTACTCAGGGATAGTCCATGTTTGCAACAAGTAAAGTCATTAACTAAGGCTATAAAACATGAAAGAACACTTGAACGCATGAGTTAGCTCCGCCCAAAGCAGTCTGCAAAAGGAATGCCAAGTCCCGTCAGCCTGCATCATTCCACAGCATTTTGTGGTCAGCAACCTTGCAGCATGCGTACAGCGTGCATCTGAGAGCCCGGCAAATCTGAGCATCTGGACATCTCAGCGAGCGGAAAGAAGCATTTGACAACGGGTGGCAGCGAGGAAGCTTGGTGAAACAAACGAGCAATGGCGCATGATGAGAGAACACTCTCTGGACTTCAGAGGTTATTTTATTTGAGGGCCTTTGACGTGTTTGGGCTCAGCCAAGGGGCGGATCCTTTGATGAGGGTTCAGGGGGTTGGGGTGGGCACTAGCGAGCTGTTCGCTGCGACGCGCACTGAGGATTGAAGAGGCGAGAACGCCGCCTAGTTGATAGTCTGTCAAGTGACGCCTGGCTCAAGCTGGCTGTGTGGGTCTTGAGCCAACTGATTTGGCTAAGGCAATGACGTAGAAACGGTACAAAAGATTGAAATCCATGGTTTAGGGTTGCCTAGTTGATAGTCTGTCAAGTGACGCCTGGCTCAAGCTGGCTGTGTGGGTCTTGAGCCAACTGATTTGGCTAAGGCAATGACGTAGAAACGGTACAAAAGATTGAAATCCATGGTTTAGGGTTGAACGTTGACCAGGCGTTTAGACAACTGCAGCTAAAATAGAAGACCAGCAATGTCCCAAAGACACGCAAGTCCCACTATCACTGAATAGGAAAGTAGCATGTGGGATTTCTTTCGCTTCTCTCTCAGAGCTACCTGGTCCAGAATGCAGCTTTGTTTGTTTGAAGCTCCAAGTCAAAAAAGCGAAGTGGGGGCAGAAATTGGATATGTTTTTCTTGCTGCAGGAGTGCTGTCCGCGTACAAAGATTGACACTTGTGTCCCAACCTAGGTCTCAAAGTGGTTTAAAGCCCCCTTGTGAAACGACCTTATCAGGCCACGCTAGTGTTGAAGGGGTATTGAAGGTTTGGACGCGGGCATGACTTGTAGCACCAGCTTGATCACACAATGCCCCCATTCCATATGAAACTCTCTCCAACTGCATAACGTCCCCTCACATGGAGCTCATTCCTCAGGATTCCTTTGATTTCTTAGGCTTTGGCAATTTGATCAGGTTCCTCTTGCCTTACCCTGGAAGGCTGGCGCCGATTTCTGCTCATTCCAATCTGATTGAGAGCGCCGAAACTCACTGGTGTCAAACTCACCCCTTTTGAACAGGTTCTGAAAAGAGCCAGCCCAAAAGCGGCCAGTTGAAAAAGTTCCACAATTGTATTTCGGATAGCTTCTTGTCTTGAACCTCTGGCTTAGCCCCGGGCTTGTCAGCCAAAAGCACCGCAAGACTCCCCACTAGACTCACTGCTACTTCCAGGTGGGGAGAATATGTTTACCTAGCAGTGAGCCAAGCAAAAGGGTGCATGCACGCATGCATGCACACATACATACGCACTTGCGCAAGTGCATACACACCTGCCTACTTACATGCATAACACGCATGCTATTGCACCCCCCGCATGCCACAACTGGGTGAGGGCTGTAATCCGCGGGTGTTGGTTCCGTTGGTTGTGTGCTTCACATTGGTTCTGTTCATTTGCAAGTAGGGACACCAGGTGGATCATAGTGAATATCATCGGCTCAACGCATTTGTGAGCAGGTTTTGTGATACCCGGGTTGCGGCAAGCCGACATCTCATCGCCCAGGTCTTGAATTACGACACCATCAAGTCGTTTCACACTCTGCCGCCGCAGGTCTGCGCCATCTTCGACTCTCAGCGCAAGTCAGACGATGCCCCCTTTCAACTTTCAAGTGCCCAGCATCTCTGTGCCCAACTTGTGAGGTTACCAGGCTGCTTGCGTTCTGTGATGCGCCAAAGGAAAACATGTAGGAGCAACATGAGGATCCGTGAAGGCGTCAAGGGAGTAGCAGGTTTCTGTTAGCGCGTTTGATCAAAACTAGTTTCGAGAACAGGGGAATGTGGTAGCACGTGTCTGCAGTCATCAAATGGTGAACCTCCCCATGAAGGCCATGAGCTCCATTCCGTGTGGACAAAAGCGAGCGCAAATTATGTGGAGGACCAGGCATAGCTTAGCGTTACAACTGTGTGCCGTATTGCGGTTCTTCCCTCCCCCAGTCAACCGGCAAAGAGTGGCCAAGTTGGGTTGGCATGGGTTGGCTCGTTTGAATGCAGCTTTTCAGCTGGCCATCGCGCGAGGAGTGAAGGCATCAGAAGATCAAGCACTTTTGAGGGGGTACCAGTATGGCCCTCCAATCGGGCAGTACCAACTTGACAAGAACCCCCTGGTCGATTCAGGGGGGGTGTCGCATTTTGGAGGCGATCTTTGACTGTAGGGGCACACCCACCGCATAAATCTGCTAGTTTGCTCAAGCCCAGGAGTTCATGGTGCTGCTCACGCTGGCAATCCTGCTGGCCGTTGCGCTGTGGCTGATGTATCTCCTTTATGAGGCATTCAAGGAGGACCGCGGTCTACGCTCACTGGAATACGCTCAAAGTGAGTATGAATTTGAAACAACAGGTGCACGCACTTGAGAATTTGGGGTGACATATGTTCGTATGTTCGATGTGTTTTTGCTGGTTCCCAGATGGTGTTGGTCACCACAGCCCTTTCACGCGATTCTCATCGCGGCAGACATTTGGGGGCAAGTGCCTTCGAGCAATCCCCGAGCACTGACTTCTTCAGGCAATTCAGAGTCTAGCCAATCCATATTGATTGACTTTTTATAGGGGAAATCCTTTGCAGATTGACATGGGTCAAAAGCTGATTCCTCTCAAGCGATTGTCTTTTGGGGCGCCGCCCCTTCAACGATGGGTCCACCAGGTGGTCCCCTACAGGAGAGTTCGCGGCCCTGGGGCTTCACGACGGACAGGGACAAGAGCGAATCTCGGAACTCGAGGGCTGAACCGGACCGGCAGGCTTGGAGCAGAGAACGAGCGCACCAAACGGGTGAAACTTGTGGATCACCATGGCAAAGCTGGAAGGATTTGCCCAACATGCCGTCCAAAGTAGGTGTCAGTGCCAGAAATCTGTCTTTTGCGGCGTTTGTATGTCCGGCGGTGTGTGTGTGTGTGTGTGAGTGTGTGTGTGTGTGTGTGTGTGTGTGTGTGTGTGTGTGTGTGTGTGTGTGTGTGTGTGGGTGTGGGTGTGTGTGGGTGTGTGTGGGTGTGTGTGGGTGTGTGTGGGTGTGTGTGGGTGTGTGTGGGTGTGTGTGGTGTGTGTGGTGTGTGTGGTGTGTGTGGTGTGTGTGGTGTGTGTGGTGTGTGTGGTGTGTGTGGTGTGTGTGGTGTGTGTTGTGTGTGTGGTGTGTGTGGTGTGTGTGGTGTGTGTGGTGTGTGTGGTGTGTGTGGTGTGTGTGGTGTGTGTGTGTGTGTGGTGTGTGTGGTGTGTTGTGGTGTGTGTGGTGTGTGTGGTGTGTGTGTGTGTGTGTGTGTGTGTGTGTTGTGTGTGTTGTGTGTGTTGTGTGTGTTGTGTGTGTTGTGGTGTGTTGTGTGTGTTGTGTGTGTTGTGTGTGTTGTGTGTGTTGTGTGTGGTGTGTGTGTGTGTGTGTGTGTTGTGTGTGTTGTGTGTGTTGTGTGTGTTGTGTGTGTTGTGTGTGTTGTGTGTGTTGTGTGTGTTGTTGTGTGTGTGTGTGTGTTGTGTGTGTTGTGTGTGTTGTGTGTGTGTGTGTTGTGTTGTGTGTGTGTGTGTGTGTTGTGTGTGTTGTGTGTGTTGTGTGTGTTGTGTGTGTTGTGTGTGTTGTGGGTGTTGTGTGTGTTGTGTGTGTTGTGTGTGTTGTGTGTGTTGTGTGTGTTGTGTGTGTTGTGTGTGTTGTGTTGTGTTGTGTTGTGTTGTGTTGTGTTGTGTTGTGTTGTGTTGTGTTGTGTTGTGTTGTGTTGTGTTGTGTTGTGTTGTGTTGTGTTGTGTTGTGTTGTGTTGTGTTGTGTTGTGTTGTGTTGTGTTGTGTTGTGTTGTGTTGTTTTGTGTTGTGTTGTGTTGTTTTGTGTTGTGTTGTGTTGTGTTGTGTTGTGTTGTGTTGTGTTGTGTTGTGTTGTGTTGTGTTGTGTTGTGTTGTGTTGTGTTGTGGTGTGTTGTGTTGTGTTGTGTTGTGTTGTGTTGTGTTGTGTTGTGTTGTGTTGTGTTGTGTTGTGGTGTGTTGTGGTGTGTTGTGGTGTGTTGTGGTGTGTTGTGGTGTGTTGTGGTGTGTTGTGGTGTGTTGTGGTGTGTTGTGGTGTGTTGTGGTGTGTTGTGGTGTGTTGTGGTGTGTTGTGGTGTGTTGTGGTGTGTTGTTGTGTGTTGTGGTGTGTTGTGGTGTG